CCCTAAGAGAAAAAAATATATTTCATTATTTTTTTCCTAATTGTGGAATACATTGATTATATTTGAAAAAAATTAGTCATTAAACAATATGCTGTGTTAATTGGCCCATTTTGATGATTACCTAACATTTCATACTATAGATATTCCATAATAAATGTATCAATTACCCCACCAAATGCAGTTAATTTATTTCTATTTTAGTATTGTAAATCAAACTGTGCATACATTTCTTATATAGAAATACTTATATATATATAAGTATATATACTTATATATATATATATATAAGTATATAAAATATTGTATCTATTATAGATTTCCTTTATACTATTCAACCTTCTTAATTCTACAAAGTAAAATATTATTATTCCTATTTTCAGATAAGGACACTAAAGCACAGATGATTAATTCATTTGTTCAAGATGACAAAAATAGTAATTAAATGATCAAACCCAGACACTCTGACTGCAGAGTTGATGCTCATAAACACCACCCCAAGTCTCTGAAATGTAAATTCTTAAAAATGAAATGATATATTAACATTTGGGAGTTCTTGATATATTTTACTAATTTTTTTCTGTAATATGTGTAAAAGCTTACATACCTACCAGCAGTAAAACAGGAAGGCAATTTCAGTATGAATTCAATAACAGACTTTGTTTTGCCAACTTGGGAAAAATATGCTATGCTTCCGTGCCTTAATTTTAACTTACTTGAATACAATCAGGATTAAAGATTCTAAAATGACTATTATCCATTTGTTACTTCAACTTTTAAAGTTGTTCTATGACAATATACATCTGCATTTCTTCATCCAATAACCATTCATTTAGTGACCAATGTGTCCCAAGCACATTTTAAGGCACTTGAAATATTTTGAGCAGAAGAGATCAAATCAGTGCCCTCAAGATGCTTATAGTCTACCGGGGAGAAACAAACAACAAAAAATAAGGAATAACTATAGAGTTCACCATAAATAACAAGTGCTACAAGGATAAAGAAGCAGGTTAGGAGTGGTAAGATTGCTGGGTATACTGTGAACAGAATGGTAAGGTAGGTTTCATTGAGAAAACCATGTTTGAGAAAATTTTTGGAGACAAGAAAGTTAGCCAGGGGCATATCAAGCAGCAGAAATTTCCAGGTAGAGGAACCAACCAGGGGAATAGCATGGAGGGAGAAGTTACAGTAAGGAGTATTTCTTGATGTTCAGGGTATTCAAGGACATCAAGAAAGCCTTTGAGAAGAGCTAAGTGGGTCAGTTTAACAGGACCTAATCCACCATTCACAGGATCATTCTGGGCACTGTTTTAAAAACAAACTATAGGCCAGGCACAGTGATGCACACCTAGAACCCCAGAAACTGGGGAGAACAAAGCCCAGGGATAGCAAGTTCAAGGCCAGCCTCTGCAATCTTAGTGAAAACCTCAGCAACTTAATGAGACCCTGTTTCAAAATGAAAAAGGATTGAGGATGTAGCTCAGTGGTAAAACATCATTGAGTTCAACCTTAATACCCAACCCAAAGAAAAGAAAAATGGGGGGAAAAAGGAAAAGAAAAAAAAATAAATTATAGGATATTTGGCTAAGGTAAAGAGAACAGTTAAGAGGCTATTAAAATGTTTCTAGCAGAGAGTCCAGATTAATAGAGTTTGCAGCAGTGGAGATGGGAAGAATGGATGAATTCTGAAAATGATTAGAAGGTAGGGACAAGAAATATCAAAACTGGATGTGGAGTGTAAGACAAAGAATCTAGGCTATGATAAATGAAGATAGGCTCAGAAAATGGGTTTTAAATAATTTGAAGGTCCTTTACTCCATACTCCAACTAAAATGCATTTTAACAGGTTTTGTAAAAATTACTTACATATAGTTTAAAGTCATCCAATATCATATACAGTATAAAATTTTCTAAGCTTATTTTATTTTTGTTAATGATATCTTTGACATATACATACTTGTTTTTTAGATTTTTATATAGGCAAATTCATTAACATTTTTTTTTTGTTTTCTATCTCAGCTTTTATTTAGTGCAAACACAAATATGTTCTAAATTTCTTTCTGTTCATTGTTTATCAGTTTACATTTAATACTTTACTATATTTGGAACTAATTTTGATGTGTGATAAGAAAATGTCAAACTTTTTACTTGTCAATCATTTGGTATAGTGTTATTATTTGACTGCTATCCTCAACACCCATAAGATTTTGGGGTTTTCCATTTATTCATTAAACTACATTTAAATTCATCTGCCAGTTTCAGACTTTTTAAATTATTCCTGCATGGAAGCAATGATAAACTCTTTACTGCTTCACACTTAAAGTTATAAAAATTATACTAATTACTCAAGCTTTCTTGGCTCATCTTGATATTTCTAATTTCAGATTGGTTAGAAGATTCAAATATTATATTTTTTATTGGCATCACATTAAACCTGCACATGCATTTAATAAAAACCCTCATTGCTACAATATTGAATTTTCCACTCCCTGAAGATTTCTTTGAATATTTGAAAAATTCTCTTTATCATCAAAATTTTAAAATAAATTTTATAAGAATAGTCTAAATGTTGGCCTCTTGGTTTCCTGCTTTTTAGTTCAGCCTTTCCATTTGAGATCTTTATCTTCTTTTCTTCTACTGAAGGGAGATTTATTTTATCACAAATGGCGTTCTCTTCTGTCTCCTCTTTAGTGACATCAGGTATTCACTTTGCATTTCAATTATTTTCCCGTATCTATATTATCCAATATTCTCAATTATTTACATCTCCTTATTCAGTAGATTATAATGTATTTTCTACATTATTGAACCTTCCTTTGCTGTTTGTAATACCAATACCAATTTTGACATTGATTTCAGTTATCTCAACCAAATCTCTTTTAACCACTATCATTTGTCTCATCATATCATTCTTCACTTGTTCTTTCCTGAATTTGTTTTCTTAAATATCAGTGAGAACCCTGAGCAATGCTTTATGTAATTTCCTTGATAAATATTTTTAAAGTAAACTTATTCCTAAAGCTTGATTGTAAATTTTTCTTTCTTATGTTTTCAACACTGTATTAGAACCTATGTTCTTATGTTTTCTGTTCATTTCAGTTTAAACAGTAAGTGGACTGTATATCCCCATATTTACCCATGCTCACAAAGAATGGAGTCTGAATGGTTTCTTTTACTGTATGCATGCTTGCAACAAAATTTCTTTTGTTCATCTTGAGCTTGTATGCTGTTCTGTATGCAAATATTCTTGTTAAACGCCTGGTATCTTGTCAGGATTTATATTGGGTGCTTCTTCTGGACTGAGAAGAGAATTCTTCATTTTCTTTCCATTTATGATACCAAATAAAAAAGACTATTCCTGGACAATATGAATCCCTTAAAGTCTATAGACAAAATGCAAAATTACAACCTCTAGACTTCTGCATTCATATCTTCCATCTTTACACTCAGAAAGGTATGAACAGAGGAGATGCTGTAACAACTCTGACCTCTTCTAAGCCCAGCTTTGGGGACTGCAAATACAACTTCTATGCTTGTGTTTAGTGGAGACCTTGTATCTTTAACAAAGTAAATATGGAGATTGGCTGAAGATTTAAATATTTACAGTTTTAGTCATTCAAGGCATGACCTCACCACCATCATTACCTTGTACTTTGGTAGAGAATGATGAAGCAAAATGTTCCTGCTAAAAATGCCCATATATTTTTTTGCAGAAATTTCAACCCAAGACAAATGACAATAAAATAATCCTTAGTTTTTGTCATTATAATGGCATTTTGTTGACATTTTAGTGTATAAATATTACCCCAAAAGTTATAAAATGACCTATACTTCAGAGAATTTTTCCCAACTCCTCTCTGTTGTTATAGACTTCATGTAAATCTGTATTCTTATCATTTTTATTTTTACTTTCCACAAATTCATATTTACTATTGTCAACATTCATAGGAAGGTAATTGGGAACTCAAATATATAAATACACAAGTACATAAAGATAAATGAAGAGAAAGCAACATAGTCAAGTAAAGAAAGGAGATTTCCAGCAATCCACACATGGCTTTTCTACTGGCTCTCAGTTGATGCTTGCTGTTGGAAACACTCACACATGCAAATGACGGGACCAACTCACAAAGAAACTCCTCAGTGTTCCTAGTACCTTCACAAGGGTGTTATTGATGGAGATATGAATTCTGTGGTGAACATGTTCATCACTACCACGAAGACAAGGAGTCCTCTGTGGTTGTGAGTATAAGAAATCAAGAACAGTCAGTGGGCTGAACAAAATACTGCTAAGCTGATGATCCCCAAGACAATATACCCCAGATGATCATGATGGTGTCACATTTCAATAGGAATGGAGGCAACAGTGACATAAGTGACAAACAAGACAGATGACTATGATGACTATAAAATTAAAGTGTGTAGAGTCAGCTTCTCTTCATGCTGTTGTGGTATGCATCCCAGAGTCTCACTCTGTTCTTGTGTTGAATCTCCAGTTATCTCCAAAATCTTAGGGGCATCAAATGAAAATGGACTTTCTTCCTTCCCCAACCAAAGGGTAATGAAATTGAGAGAAAGAATGAATGGCTAGAAGTCATGACGACCTGCATCTGCTGTGACCCTGTGTTTCCTCATAGTTTTCAACTACTGGACATCACCTAAAGGACAGCTCTCAACCACTCTGTGAAAATGTATTATAAATAAGAAACTATAGATAAACCTCTAAGGCACACATTGTCTCACTTTTTCATGTTTGTTGTGTCTTAGGAAGTGATTGTGTCTGTGCATTTTCTTTGCTTATGTAATGTAATTTCAAAATAAATTTTATCCAAGCCAAAAAAATGTATTTCATACCTTTTTAACACTCTAATATCTATGTATAATATAGTCTGAAATCAACAATAAACAGATACTTGAATACATGTATATTTACAACATTACTTAACAAGCCTGGATTTTCAAGTTAAAGGTGACACATTAAAATAAAAATTGAGTGGTCTTACCTTTCTGGGTACGTGAGTGATTTTAACATGAGACTCTGGATCCTGTAGCTGCATGTGGAACATTGTATATTTGAGGTCTGGAAATATGTCAAACCAATGCTTGAAATATTTACAACATCAGTGAAAAATTGAGCAAGAATATTGACTTCTTGAAGTCTATAAAATGGTTTGCTCTTCCTAAATAAAAAATTTGCATATTAATGATTTTAAACATACATTATGTCTAAAATCAGTATAATCCTAATGAGGCAGGATTTAGAAAACAATTTGATATGGAAAAGGCCAAATAAAATACCTGTTAACTATTTATTAAAATAATCTAAACAGTAATTTACTATAAACCTAATAAAATAATAATAATACATACATTACCACAGATATATTGGGGGAATACTTTTGAGGAAAAAAAAGTGAGAGATCCTGTCTCACTCTAGTCAGAATGGCAGTTATCAAGAGTATAAACAACAATAAGTGTTGGAGAGGCTGTGGGGGAAAAGGTACACTCAAACATTGCTGGTGCAGCCAATCTGCTGGTGCAGTCAATCTGGAAAGCAATATGGAGATTCCTTAAAAACCTTGGAATGGAACCACCATTTGACCCAGCTATCCCACTCCTTGTTCTATCCCCAAAGGACTTAACAGCAGCATACTACAGTAACATAGCCAAATCAATGTTTATAGCAGCCCAATTCACAATAGCTAAACTGTGGAACCAACCTAGATGTCCTTCAATAGATGAATTAATAAAGAAACTGTGGTATATATACACAACGGAGTATTACTCAGCAATAAAAGAGAATAAAATTATGGCATTTGCAGATAAATGGTGGAGTTAGAGAATATCATGCTAAGCCAAGTAAGCCAATCCCCCCCCCCCAAAAAAAAAACAAAGGCTAAATGTTTTTCTCTGATAAGTAGATGCTTATACATAATGGAGTGCAGGGGCAGGGATGAATGAGAAACTTTAGATTGGGCAAAGAAGAGGAGGGAAGGGGACATGGGGGCAGGAAAGATGGTGAAATGAGATGGACATCATTACCCTACGTGCATGTATGATTGCACATATGGTGTGACCCTACTTTGGGTACAACCAGAGAAGTAAAAAACTGTGCTCCATTTGTGTATAATGAATGGAAGAGCATTCTGCTCTCATGTATAACTGATAAGAGCAAATAAATAAATTTTTTAAAAAGTGAGATATCTTGTTTTTCTGACAGAGTGCCTAGATTATACATTTGTTTAAGATTATTTGTTTTACATTTCTTTCTTTGGACACTTCAATATCACAATTCCTTAAATAGATTAGAAGTTCAAATAATAACTCCACTGTTCTGTGCCATCTTATGAAAGATTCCATACTTAAAGGGATAATCTATAAAAGCCAGAGATTCAAAAGAAAAATTAAGGGTAATATTTAGTGAATACAATTTCCTCAGCACTGATGAAGTACCAAGAATTCTAACAACGCTCCACATATTAGACCTCATTTAACTATTTCAACAACTCTTTTTACTAGGAATTCTGAGCATTACTATTATACAGATGAGAAAAGTGAGTAGCAGAGCATCCAGGTGCCTTTCTTAAAGTCACACAGCTGATAGACAAGCACATGGGATGTCAACAGCCTCACTAGTGCTTCTCTGCCAATTCTTCATTTCCATGTCCCTGGAGTTGGTTGTATCAACATGGATTTACCTGTCTGCAAAGAGACTCAACCTACTCCACTGCATTGTGTCTCTTTAGATAAAACTAAGAGCAAAGAAAAGAAAAAGTGGAGGCAGCATATGAGAGGGAGGAGGATCAAAATGGAGGAAAAAGGGAACAGGGGAGAAGAATGAGAGAAGGAAGGAAAGAAGAGGAAAAGAAAAGAAACAAAGTTAAGGATAGGAAAGGAAAGGAGAGAAGGGAGAAAATTGTTTTTTAAAGTCTATTGAAATAAAATCTGTAAAAACAGAAAGAAAGAAAGGAAGGAAGGAAGGAAGGTAGGTCTTATTGAAAGAAGCTTCTCTTTTGAGAGAAGAAAGACTTGCTTAAACCAAGGTGAAAATCTCATACAGAAACACTGAAGAACAAACATTTCCTACCATATCTTATTTTTTATTGCCCTCCTGTTTTATTCCTTCACAACAGCTAGACCCAAAGAAGGATGCCATTATTATCCTTAAGGTTTATCTCAGCTCCCTCCCAGCAGAGCCACCTCCTCCTCTTTCACAGAATATGTCATTGGATATCTCCCTAATGTTTTTCCAAGAAGTTATCTGGATTTCAATACTTCAAATTCAACATATCCATATAGGAACACGTTACCTTTCCCACCAATTTGCATCCACCCCAGTGGTTTTAAATGCCAACAGGTTGCTCATGATCACCAAGCAGCTACCTCAAATTGAGAGTCCAGAAACATATATTCACCAGTTTTCACTTTGACATTTGAATATCACAAGGATGCCTAAAGCTTAGAAGTTTCAAATCTAAACGAATCATCTTCCCCAATACCTTCCCCTGACCACAAAAAGAAAATAAAATCTAAACAAAAACATAAATTTCCTAATGATATTAAAGGGCATTATTATCTTTATGGTGTTGGATAAGTAAATTAATGTGTTGGATAAGTAAATTCATACTACCATCTCTTGCCTTATCCCAAAAATCAGGATTCATCACTAATACCATTCTCCAGTCAATCCCCACATCTAGTCTATCATAAATGCTTATTATGAATCTTACCTAAAAAATATCTTGAATCTTTGAATCCAATCTCATTTTTCTATCTCCGTTGCAAATCCTCTTACCCAGGAGACCATTGTATCTTGTGTGTGTGTGTGTGTGTGTGTATAAAATTACAATAGCACTCAATCCCCTCTCCAATTTCCTCTCTAACCAATGTGGTCTATTGTTTTTCCAAAATAAAAATACAGTCTTGGCCCCAGTCAAACTTCCCAATGAAAACATTTCAGTGATTTTCATTTGTCCAGTGAATTTATTACAAATTCTGGAGCATGGCCTATGAATTCTTGTTCCTGCGATATCTGGGAGCTCTCTCTCTCTCATCTTTCTCCCTCCCCGCCCCTCTCATTTGTTCTGTCCCTATTCTGAAACACAGAGCTCCTGTCAGGTCCCAGAGTGGCCTGTGCTACTTTCTGCATCAAGTTCTTTGCATCTGTGGGTCCCCAGCCTAGAATGCAGCAGGGCCTTGACCCATTCATCATTCAGATCTCAACTAATGAAAAATACCCACAAAAATGTTTTAATGACCCCACTAATTCATGTTCCCTACTTTAAGTTTCCATACATACGTATAAATTTGTCTCAAGATATTTTTCCTGGACAGATTTTACTTTTAACTTATTTGTAATTTGACTACCCTTCTATTCCTCACTATGCTGCAAGCTTAATGAGGAGAGGACCAAGTCTGTTTTGCTCATTGCAATATTCTAAACACTTAGCAGAGGGCCTGACTCAATGCACATAAAATTGTTTGAAAACAGGGATGATGGACATACCTGTGTTCTTTCTATCATTAATTTAAAACCTGTATGCTGAAATCATATAAGAGCAGAGATCCAATTTGTCAAAGAGTTTCTTTCCCATTCCTAGCATAGTTCCTGGGCTATGAAAACCCTCAACATTTTTTAATTTAATGATTAAATTGGATCATCCCCAAATAAGTCTTACCTCACTATGGAATAGTATACACTTTTTAAATAGCCACCAAGCTCCACACATGAAGTTACTCTAGATTGATTTCTTTTTTTGATTTTCACATTCATTTAATCATAAAAACATACCACATAACTATTTGTAAGCCTTAAAACCTCTAGAGTCTCACACTTCTTTTTCATGCCCACTGGCTTGATCCACGCCCCCTCATCTTTTATAGGAATATGGCAGTAGCTCTATCTGTGGACTCTTGGCACCAATCTCGTTCCCTCTAATCTACCTACTGCTCATCCATCTAGGGAATTGTTACAATCTGAACTTGTAATACTGGTATTTCCTGTTTAAAGTCCTGCATTGGCATATTCATACTTTTGGTCTCACAAGATCTAAGTGATTTTTAGTTACAAAGGAAATGTGTCCACACTATATCACTAAGTATAACAATCAGGATGCAGACCACATTTTCAGTAAGATACACATTTTGCTAAATAAAAAAAATATATCCACAGGGTCATGTGCAAAAACAACCACCACCAAAAAAAGAGGCTCAGAAGAGGACAGAGAAGGAAAAGAACAAGAAAGGGGAAAAAGAGAAGAAAGAAGGGGTGGAATGATTATTTTTTTAAAAAAATGGTTAAGTGTGAATATTCTTAGGTGATACAATTATAGGCAATTCTCATTCTCCAGTCTATAAAATGACACATTTTCTACAGTGAGGAAATATTCCTGTTTCAATTTTGGAAAGGCAAATAAAAGATCATTAACATTCTCTGACTCCCAGAGCATCTAAAATGTAGTTCAAATCCCCAAAATAATTAATAGATAAACAATAAAGCCATTAGCCAGGGTTAGATGGGCAGATTTTACCACGGAATGTTCCCATATTTTACATTTCTCCATGGTGTTCCATGTGTTTGCAAAGTAAATCAGGACATAAGTTTGCTTTCCAGAAAAATTCAAAGCAAATTCTTGAGAACTCTACTCTGTGCACTATTCTTAAATTATGTGTTTTCCCATCTCCCTATCTTTGAAAATAACTTCTCCCTGTTTTTGGAGTCCATCACCTTATTTTCAAGTGCTCCCTTGCTTCTCCTCTGTGCTTTAACAGTAATTTAGTGATATTCTATCATAAAACTGATTACTCAGAGATGCAATTATGGCTTAGTCTTCCAGTATTCTGTGACTTCCTTGTGAACAATAAAACTATTTCAGTTTGAGTTCTAGTACTCTGTAAAATGTCTGAATAAGATTTGTGATGAATAATGTGTTAGATAAGTAAATTCGTACAAAAGCTAAAAAAGCATATTTCTGATAAGACTAAATAATTGACTATATGAATATACATAAATATACATACTCAAATTAGAATTACATACAATGTTACAAAAAGTAGTCAACTATTTTGCAATAATATATACAATGACAACACATTTGACCAATGTTCAAAATTAGGTAAATAACGCTTTAAAGCTTTTTATAATAAAAGACAGGGGCTTGATAAAAGTAAAAAAATCTGCATTGAAATTCTAATTTGATTTCTTTTATCTTCTTTTCTAAGTGACTAAAGGAAGGTTTAAAAAAGGAAAAGAACAAGAATAATTGGTACTCTTGCATTATTATTACATTTATTTTTTTTCTAGAGAGAGAGAATTTTTTAATATTTATTTTTTTAGTTTTCAGTGGACACAACATCTTTATTTTATTAGTATGTGGTGCTGAGGATCGAACCCAGTGCCCCGCACATGCCAGGCAAGCGCGCTACCGCTTGAGCCACATCCCCAGCCCTACTACATTCATTTTACCATTAAATTATCTGCAATGCTTTTACTAACTTTAGAAAATTAATGTTAGAGTTTTTAATATTAAAAAAATGCATTTTTCTCAAAAGTTTTTAAAAACTGCCTGACTCTCAACCAAGAATATTATTCCTGAGGATGATCATTGCTTCCCATGATAGAAGGTCTTTATTTTCTTCAGTACAGAGGTTTTCAGTGATTTTTATCAACATGAACTTTTTAAAATCATTTTCTTTGTGTAGTGCATGGTCTAAAATATTTTGTCTTAAACACTGTATCAGTTGTAAAGTGTGTCTCCTTTTATATTTTAATGTTATTCTTATTTTAATTAAATGTTAATAATACTATAATATTAAAGACACTGCTATTGTTGTGCAAATAAAATAGGCAAGAACTTTTTCCTAGTTCATAGTTAATGGCTGAATAAATCTATATGTCACTATATACTCAGGTCCGAGGTCCCTCACACATTAGATTTAATCAATTTGCCAATTCAGGTACTAGGACTACCTAAAATGTGACAGGAGCAAATGTTTGAGATACCAACAAAACCCCCTGAAACTCCAATATCATCAATAGCCATTCAAAAGTTAAATCAAACTATTATAAGTGCAGCCATAGCAAAATAAAATTTATCTTTTATTTAATCACCTGACATGGTAACTGTGAGTCTTTTGAAAGCAACTCTGTTATTTAATCGCTTTCCAGAAGTCCAACACACTATATTGGAAGTCATAATTTCAACTCTAAGATGTACCTATTTGTCATACTTTTGAGAGAAAATAAATTTCCTGCTTTAAGAATTTATTAAACACACAGGCATTCAAGAAACCCACATGATAGTTGGCTTTGAGATGATTAGATAACATTAGAAACGTGTATACAATTGCACATGCATAAGAAGCTAAATAAAAGATTAAAGAAAAACATCCCTCTCCTATTATTTAGGAACTTTGTGGCTGAGCATGGTTTTCTGAAATACTAAAATGGCATCACTTGGTTATTAACTGATGCCACTGGACCTTCACTTTTGCCACTGTGAACATGATGTTGCATGAAAACTGGAGAAATTGGGAAGGCAAGATTGGTAGGAAGAATACTGGAATTAAGAATGGAAAGATGAGGCTGAAGTCATAGATCAGCGGTAGAGTACTTGTCTAGCACGTGTGAGGCACTGGGTTCGATTCTCAGCACTACATAAAAAAAAAAAAAAAAAATAAGGTATCATGCCCAAATCCAACTTTAAAAAAAAAAAAAAGAATGAAAAGACAGAGAGAAAACAAAACATTTCTTCTTGTACTCTTGTAACTGAGGTAGTAACCAGTTCTATAATATTAATTAGCTATTCAGCCTCATATTCAATATCTTCCTCTTTAAAATGAAAGAATCCAAAGGTAACAAATGGGATCCTTATAATATCTAACATTTTAATACTCTTTGGATAGAAATTTACTCTGTTTGGACTATCTTCTAAACTGGATACTCAAGATAGCAAACATTTAATGTATGAAAGAAGAAAACATGAAATGGTACTTACTCATAGAGCCTTGGATTTTCAATGGTTCCCAGTTGGTTTAATAATCTAAATGAAATATAGCCATCACTCATAGCTTCACCCACAGCAACTATACTGAGAACAAAATAATAAGCTACGAAATAAAAATATAAAAGGCCATTCACATTATTTTTTAAACTTTAATTTTGATACATATACAAATACACAGAGATATATATTATTTAATTTAGTCCTATATTATATATGTTAAATGATATTCATTAGAAGCTCTCTTTTTGTCCTTAAGTAATATATTTTGCTTGTTTGTCAGCTTTTTTTTTTTTTCTTTGAGGGAGGGAATACCAGGAATTGAACTCAGAGGCACTCAACCACTGAGTCACATCCCCAGTCCTATTTTGTATTTTATTTAGAGCCAGAGTCTCTCAATGAATTCCTTAGAGCCTTGTCATTGCTGACTCTGGCTTTGAACTCAAAATCCTCCTGTCTTAGCCTATTGAGCTGCTGGGATTTCAGGTGTGTACCACTGCACCTGGCTTGTTTGTCAACTTTTGACTAGTCTTAAAAACAAAGAATAAGAACCTAGTCATGGTTGTGGTTAGGATTTGGCAAAATACCTAATAAATTCTAATTAATCTGCAAATCAGAAAATAAACAACATTCAAAATTTAGGCCAATTAAACAATTTGTACTTTTCAATAAGATTTCTAAGGTAAATATGATAAGGTTTCTTAATTATCTGATTAATAGTCCAAGCTATATCTGCTTGACTACCATCACCCCCGATTTTTTGGGCAGCTGAAAAATTAAATTAAATGACTCTATTAAATTAAATAACCATAGTAGGGCAAGTTCACAGTAGCTCCTATTCAAAATGCCTTCATGAAAATTTAGTATGGTATACCTTGCAGAGGCAAAACTACTGAAATCACCCCTATTCTCAACAGTTTCAGGATTACACAGGAAGCCCTGACTCTGCCAGTTATCTTAAGTCATCCCTAGAAGACAATATACATATTCAAACATAACGTGGAATCTGTAAATTCCTGCAAGATATACAAAAGTTATAAATGCTACCTGTTAATCGTTTCCACTAAATAGTAAGAAGTAATATCATTCATTGTGCTTAGTATTACCTCAAATAAAGTAACGCATTTATGACTGCATCTTGTAAATTTCAAGAGATGTAAAGGAACACTTCTTATTCTGAAGTTTATGCCCGGCTTCAGGCAGAGTATTTTCACCCACCTCACCCATAAATTGGCTCAGGTAAATTCTGGCAGCACCGTTTATTAAAACGTTACAGAATAAGCCACCATCGTACTATAAGTATGTAGAAGTGGTAGGTGAGCAATATATATTTTCATACAAAATCAAGCCCAAAAGGAGGAAGGAGAAATGAAGAAAAAAATATCCAAGGCCATAAGGGTTGAAGCCCTGGGACCTGAGAACTGGGTGAATGAAGGAGAGTGAGGCTGAAGTATCAACCTCCACAAAGGAAAAAGAGACCTGGTACTAAGTGACAGAGCGGAAATGCAGGTCCCTATAGAGATCCAGGGACCTCGATTTCCTGCCTCATCATTGAAGTGATCAAAGGGGAAATTACTCCTCCTGGTTCTGTGCCTGTATGAATCTTTTTAAAAATCATTTCTTTTCTTCTTTTTGAGGTTCTAAGGATTGAACCCAAGGCAAGACAGGCATTGTACCACTGAGGTACAAACCCAGCAGGTATTAAGGTTAAGAAAATAATAATAACATGAAATTTAATGAAGAACCCCAAACAATTTACATAAGAGTCCTCTAGGATTGTAATGATATAGTTCTAGAAAAAAAGGAGTCCATTGTGCTCTGAGAATTTTAAAAAACAGCTGGCTGCTGAGCATTTTCTATATATATGAAACACATGAAATTCTGATTTAAAAGAGCACAGATTTTTCATTAACAATTAATCCAGACTTGAAGGGAGCATCAATATTGAAAAATAACACATCAAAACAAAGTAAATTAATGAATACAATAAAAGGAAAGTGACAGATTATCTTCAGGAAATAATTAGGTTCATAAAACCTAGAAAAAAAGAAGCTTGAATGAACATAAGAGAATTAATGTTTTCAATAAGCTGAACAAAAAATGTTAATGTAGAACTTATCTCAAACTATGTTTTCATTTCTAAGTGAGAAAAAGATAAGAATATTTTCAAGGGAAAAAAAAAGGAAAACTGGTAGAGACCACTAGTGAAAAGTCACTGATAGGGTATATGTCAGGAAGAAGTTAACACTGAAAGGAAGAAATGCAGGATCAGGAGAACTCCAGACACAAACATAAAAAAAAAAAAAATTGGGAAATAAAATTGAATAGTTAATGCAATAATGATATTTATAAATAATATTGAGTATCAAATAAATGGAAGCAAAATACCACAGAATAAAACATTAAAGACAGATAAAAAGAAAAGATTCAAAGAATCTGTGAGGTAAATTATTGCTGTGAATATAATCTAATAAAATAGTCCATGGTGGTAAGATAAATTTTTATATATAAATCAAAAATAAAAGCAGCAAATATGATATATAATATATTCAGGAAAATATAACAGCACTATATACATTCCAAACAGCAAAGGCAGAATATAAATTTATATCAAGCATCAATATAGAATTCATTCCTTATTAGAGTAAACATTTTGCTCTGCAAAAGACTATGAAAAGACAAGTTACAGCCAGAAGACTTCTATAGCTAATAAAATGTTTTAGTAAAGCAGCAGGATACAAGATCAACACACATAATAAACCCAATAATAAACCCACTGAAAAAGAAATTGGGAAAACTATCCCATTCACACTAACCTCAGAAAATAAAATAAAATACATGGGAATAAATCCAACAAAAGATGTCAAGGATCTCTACAGTGAAAACTATAGAACACTGAAGAAAGAAACTGAAGAAGACCTTATAATATGAAAATTTCTAATGCAAGAGATGTAAAGGAACACTTTACATCTTGTTCTTGGGTCTGGAGAATCAATATTATTAAAATTGCCATACTACCCAAAGCATTATATATAGATTCAATGCAATCTCCATTTGATTGCCAATGATATTCTTCACAGAATTAGAAAAAGCAATTATAATATCCATTAGGAAAAATAAGAGATGTAGAATAGCCAAAGCAATCCTGAAAAAAAAAAAATGATGCTGGAGACATCACAATACCAGACTTCGAAATACACTAGAGAGCTATAGTAACAAAACAGCATGGTACTGACAACCCAGACAGACATGAAAATTAATGGAACAGAATAGAAGACACAGAGACAAATCCACATAGATACAGTTATCTTACACTAAAAAAAGTTTCTAAAAATATACACTGGAGAAAAGATAGCCTTTTTAACAAATGGAGCTGGGAAAACTAGAACCCTATATGTAGAATTATGAAATTTGGCCTCCATCTCTCACCCTACACATAAGTCAATTCAAAGTGGATCAAAGACCTCCGAATTAGGTCTGAAACTCTCCAACTGTTCAAAGAAAATGTAGACCCAACACTGTAACATGTTGGCACAGGAACTGCTTGCTTAGCAAGCCCCCTAAAATGTAAGAAATAAACTTAAAAACCAATAAGTAAGATCTCATCAAATTAAAAAGCTTCTATACAGCAAAGGAAAGTAATAAAAATGCCTACTCAATAAAGATCTTTGTCACCCACACCTCTGGTAGGGTATTAATATTAAGAATATATATAAAGAACTCAAAAACTTGACACCAAAAACAAATAACCTAATTTATAAGTAGGCAGAAGAACTGAACACACACCTCATAAAAGAAAAAAATACTATTGGCCAACAAATCTATTTTTAAAATGTTCAACATTGCTAGCAATCAAGGAAATGCAAATCAAACTATGGTGAGACTTCATCTCACTCTAGTCAGAATAGCAATTATCAAGAATATAAATAACAGTAAGTGTTGGTGAGGATATGAGGGTAAAAGTACACTCATGCATTGTTGATGGGACTGCAAACTAGTGCAACAAGTATGGAAAGCAGTATGGAGATTTCTCAAAAAAATAGGAATGGAATTACCATATGATCCAGCTATACCACTCCTCAGCACATATCCAAAAGAACTAAAATCAGCATACTACAGTGACAAGGCCACATCAATGTTTACAGAAAGACAATTCACAATAGCTGAAATATGGAACCAACCCAGGTGTGCTTCAACAGATGAGTAGATAAAGAAAATGTGGTACACGTACACGATGGAGTTTTACTCAGCCATAAAAATAAATAAAATTACAGCATCTGCTGGTAAATGGATGGAACTGGAGACTATGATGCTAGGAGAAATAAGCTACACTCAGAAAGTGAAAGGCCCAATGTTTTTCCTTATATGTGAAATCAAGACCAAAGTAAGGAGGAAAAAATGAGAGAAAGAAAGAAAGGAAGAGAGAGGGGGAAACAGTGGGGGGATTCCATCAAACAAAAGAAAGATGGGTAAGCTAGATGGAGGAGACTAAGGGGGAGGGAGAAGGGACAGGATAAAGGAAGAATAAAGGAATGAATCTAACCTAACTTTTCTATGCCTATATATGAATATATCACCGTGAATCACATCATCAGGTATCTCCACAAAACACTAACAACAACAACAAAAAGAAACCTAAAAAAATAAACAGCAGAAAAGTCTATAGAGTAGAGGAAAGGAAACTGCAAGAGGAAGGGAAAATACTGGGGACAGAATTTTAGCAACTTACATTCCATGTTTTTTTTTAATTATGTAAAAATGTATCTTAATGTCGTGTATAACTAACAAGCAACAGTAAAAAACTGTGAAGACAAGCTGCAGAACCTGAGAAAATATTTTCAGACCAAATAACTAATAAGCACTACTTTCTACAATATGTAAAGAAATCTCAAACTCAATAGTTAAAAAATAATCCAATTGGAAAATGCCAAAAAAGGCGTGAACACACTCTTCACCTAAAAAGGACTTATAAAGAGATATTCAATATAATCACATATCAGGCAACACAAGTTAAAGTCAAATGGGGTGTCAATATATACTCATCAGAATGGGTAAGATTTCAAAAATAATGACAAAGGCAAGTGGGAATCAGAGAAAATAGATCACGCATAGTTTGCTCAGGGGAATACAAAATGATACAGCTATTTTGGAAAACAACTGTCAATCTCTTATAAACCTAAGCAAGCAATTAGTTTATGATACAACAATTGCACTCCTGAGCCTTGTGACAAAAATGAAAACATATTCACACAAAACTTTGTACACAAAATTCTTAATAGCATTATTTGTAATAGCCAAAAACTGAATTCATCCTCTATGCTCTTTAACAGCTCAACGGTTAAACTATAGTGCATACATACTCTGGAATACTACTCACAAAAGAAAAAGAATGAATTATTCATACATGTTACATGAATGACCTTTCAGGTTATGTTGCTTGAAGAAGAGCCAACAACAAAATCACATACTAAATAATTCCTTTTATATAACATTTTTGAAATGACAAAACTTTAGAAATATATTTTAATAGATGTCAGAAGTTAGAGACAGCTGGGAAATAGCATATATGGTTATAAAAGCACAACATAAGGGATTCTTCTGGTGATGAACTGCTCAGTATCTTAACTGTAGTGGTAGAGACATAACCATATACATGTGACTAATCTGTATACAGATTATACACACACACACACACACACACAATTTAGGAAAAGATCTGAATAAAGTAGACGGACTGTACAAACATCAATATACTGCTAATGAAATTATATTACCTATAGTATTATAAAATGTTACCATGGAGGGAAATTGGATAAAAGATATGTAGCTCTGTATTAGTTCTTCTATTTGCAAATCTAAAATTAATAAATTAAAATTTCAATTCATTAGAGGACAGACACAATTCAGTATAACAGGACATATAATTAAGGTTTAAAGGATTATAATATCTTGAACTGACAGTGAGTACAACTTCAAAACCTTAACAGTAACTGGCCCACGTAAATTCCTCAGACACCAAAGTCAATGCCACTAACTAGAAACTAACCTCGTAATATCCACATAAAGTGATTTCTTTATAAATCACTTCCAGCTTTTCATCTCTAAAGAAAATAATTGTGCTATCTTTCATAGGTCCTCTTTATGTTAATTATGTAATACAACTGGCATAACATTCTCTCCTGTTCTACACATTTTCTCTCGTTTAACTCTAAATGTATTAGGGAGATTATTACTTATTTGCCATTTTCAGATATATATAGTTTAAGTCTTAATTTGGTATAAATAGTATATACAAAAGTCTTAGGCTTCCTAACATGTTAAATCCTGAAATGATTTCTGGAAAACAAATCATGTGATTTTGAAGGAGGCTAGGATCATTTCTTTGGGAAAATATTATACAAGCATCTGATCAACTTATCTAAAAAAATAAAGTCCTTAGTCAAATTTGTTCAACTATCTGTAACAAATTTTTTAAAGTGATGGAATTTGGGAGAGTGCAAAGCATATTTTCAATAAAATAAAAAGGACTACAGCAGGCAAGGTGGCACATGCCTATAATCCCAGCAGCTTGGGAGGCTGAGGCAGGAGGATCTCGAATTCAAAGCCAGCCCCTGCAATTTAGTGAGACCCTCAGCAACTCAGGAAGACCCTGTCTCAAAATAAAATATAAAAAAGGACTGGGGATGTGGCTTAGTGGTTAATGCCCCTGAGTTCAATCCTTGGTACAAAAAAAAATTTTTTTTTAAAGGAATACAAAAAAATAATATTTTTTTCATTTGTTAAAAATGTTAACAACTTACTACAAAATGGACTTGTACTACTAGTATCCAAATACACAATGGTCCTATGAGGCCATCCTTCCACTCTTCCTTTTAAGCCAATTTTCCATAGCTCAGATTCATAACCTGAGATTTAAGAAACAGAACATTGGATATTGAACTTCTATCAAATAACATGCATATTTCAAATCACTAAAATATAACTAAATAATTAATAAGCATAATCATTGCAATAATCACAGTCATAGATTTTAGCAATTTAAAAAAACATTTTTCAAATGATGTGGTATTGGTAACTGGTACAGTTCTTGCCTGGCATGTGTGAGGCCCTGGGTTTGATCCTCAGCATTGCATATAAATAAATAAATAGGCCCACTGACAACTAAAAAAAAAGCATAGTATTCTACTTATTTCAACTACAATAATAATTCAAATTCAGGATTCATTAATAAATCCACTCTCTAAAAGTCTAATCAGAATTTACCACGTCGCAAGACTTATAGTCTATTTATAATAGGTTTTACTACTATATTATGAATTCATAATTTTACTTGTAACTCTTTAGTAAGTTCTGCAGAATACAATGTAGTAAGTGAACATATAATTTATTTCTTTGGGTATAGCCCTCAGTTTTCCTATATACACATGCATACATACATACACATATGATATGCATGTATATATATGATGTACAATATAAATATGTAAATAGCATAAAGGGCATCTATACACAGTCACATAGTAGATAACATATGTTTAATAAATGTACACATATGCACACAGAATGTGTATTATATATAACATATTTCTATATGTATAAAATTTAAATATTTATTAATAATATATGCACATACATGTTTCAGATGCTTCTTTGTTCCTCAATTCCTACCTCCAACATTGGAGATTTGAATGAAGTAGAAAGAATGCTTAATGGAGACTACACAAGTTTAACTTTAGTTCCCACTTATGCTCTCTTTTTTTTAACATTTATTTTTTGGTTGGACACAATATCTTTATTTATTTACTTTTATGTGGTGCTGAGAATCGAACCCAGGGCCTCGCATGTTGTAGATGAGTGCTCTACTGCTGAGCTACAACCCTAGCCACCACTTATGCTCTTAACCAATCTGGGTCAAATATGAAAAAACTATAAGACCAAAAAAACAATCCCAAAAGAGCTCTGCAGAAAATGAACCCACGTGATGTCATGTGGGCAGACGTGAACTAGGATAATAAAAATTTGGTATAAAGCATGCCTGCCTAGAATTAGTCCTGCTAAAGAAAACTGGTTGCATATGATTGGATTCAGCCTTTGTAAACACTACTTACTCTTAGAGCTCCTTTGGTTTTAGAAACATTTCTGGAATATTTTTCCTTCATACTGACTAGACACTTATATGCTAGGCTCTAGTATTTTCTTTGGAAAACACTGAACAGTCCCTGAAATTCTAACATTCTATTTTCATATGCATTCTTTTTGCTTTATAATTTTCCACTGGAAAGCTTTAATTTTCAGAAGCTGCAATGCCTAAATGCTCTTACCAAGCTTTATTGATTTAGAAGGTGTGAACCATGTAGGATTCATGACTACTTGCTGATAGCAAATGGAAATCTATCTGTAGTTCACACCTCTTCACTTGCTCCTGAAACTTCACATTAAAAAAAAAATCTCAGGGCTGCAAAGAATGCGCAAGTTTCTTTCTTTAAATGTAAACATAATTCGATGATAAATAGTTAGATCCATTTGGCTATCAAGAACATGGGTCATAATGAGGTCATTGAAATCTGCCCTCTATATTAAGAATAGGAAGGCAGTTGGTCTATTTCTCTCATTAATTATCTTTTAAAATTTAGTAGTAAATAAAATATTTATTCTGACAGTACCACATCTCCACAGATACATTTTCCATAAAATGTTAGCAAATTAACACATAAACATAAATAATTGATTTTATGATTTAAATTCAGCAGAAAATACTAACAATTTGGGTATTCATTTTCAAAAGGAATTACTGTAACTATACCAATCCTTCTTACCTAGCCTAGGACATGAGTTTTCCTTAAAGCTGCCACAGTCCACACATAAACTAGCCTTGTAATCTCTGTATGAAGAACAAGGAAATGAAACAAAGATGCAGTTTGTTTCCAAAGTTGCCATGAACAAGTGAATTGCTCGCTGGTGGTCACACTTAATATATTCCAATCCTTTAAGGAAAAAAAAAAGCAAAAGAACTATAGATGTATTAAACTGAGATTAATTAGAGAAAAACTGAAGATTAAGTTCTACTAAATTCTGTGCACCTCACAAATATGAAATTTTTGACTACAATATAGTTATATCTCAAGCCCCTTAACAAAGAGTACCATTAAAAAATTAACTTTAGCATGTCTTTTGCAGAAAATTAATAAAATTTTTCATAAAGTAATTACTAATACAGCAGGGATGTTTAATTCTAATACAAGCAGGTTGTAAAAACACAAAGCTAGCATATTAATAACTAGTATACATTTCTCCCTTCTAATCCTCTACCTCTAAGATTTCCACCCAGCCTTAGAAATACCTATGGAAACAGATGACAATGAAACTTTATGACCTCTCTTTCCTTTCCCAAGGTCTAGCATCCTCTCCCTTTGACCAAACTCGTCTATCTTCAGCAGCCTTTGGCCCTGTGTTATGTCTTACTCATTACTGCTGTGGACCTAATATTTATCACCATGGCTCTAAGATGATCCAAATTCCACACCTGTGGCAACTGTTCATCTATCTCTCTATATAAGACAATTAAAAATTGAGAACATTTGTTTGTACAGTAAAATGGTGATGGTGAATGTTGAATTTTGAAATCAAATGTGTGTTACATGATACTTTAGCTACATGGTGCTTTCTCAATAACTTAAAATTTTTCCTAACATTTAAAATGATGAACTAAAATCACTGGAACCATTACATAATAGGTCTCATTCATAACCAAATGATATGACTACTGGCAATCTTTATGAATGACTCAGGATCAAATTAAAGTATTTATGATCAATAACTATCCTGAATCTTGGGGAAAAGAAGATTAAATCAAACTATTGCCCAAAGATTAAAAAAGAAAAAATAAATTATTTTCTTTTACCATTTCCAATCATGTGTAGTTCATTTGCAAATACTATTTCATATACCTGAAAAAATTGACTTAGGACATCCAGGTTGTTTTTTTCCTCCATTTGGATAAAAATCTATATGTCCCAATGGCTCTTGGATACCTAAACCTAAGAAGAAAAGTACCCAAGAATCACAAAGTGTAGATAATCAGGTAGGCAACAATCACCTAAAACAAAATTGCTTAAAAATCTATTGAAAAGTATTCTTTAATTTTAAAATTGAAAATAAAATAAAAGCTATTTTTTTCAGAAATGAGTTTCTATCATGATAGTTTTTCAGATTAATTCTTTGTGAGATTATATTTTATTGATTTAATATATTTACCAGTCACCAGTTTACTATGGGCCAGTCATAGTTCTTTATGCTATTAGTGCATAAATAAGTTTTTAAAAAATAGAGAAAAAATCCTTGTCGTGGAATATACTTTCTAGTGGAAGGAAAATATGAGACAAATAAAAATATAATATTCAAGATAAGTGCTATGGAGCAAGTGGAACAGGGCGCAGAGCACACCTAGCTAGGGTGGTAGCTGAACTTTTCAGTAGTTTGTGCTTCCCACTGAGGAGGCTGAAAGTGAGTAAAGATATGGAGGATGTGAGCAGTAAGGCACGGTGATATGTGTGCGAGTAGACTTGGGGTATTTAAGGAAGCCAGGTGGCTGGAGCATAACATGTAAGAAGGATCATCAGAAGACAAGAATTCACACCATATATGACCCTTCTGGTCAGGGTGAGGATTTATTCTCATTGGGGGTTATTATGCCTGGGAGCAGCTGATGCTAACTGGTAAAACCTAAAGAGCACACTGCCTCAGCTGGTATGACTTGGGTCAAGGTGGCTTGCAACATACAGCTATGAGTCCCAGGATTCTGTAGATCTGTAGATCTTTGGGGCACTGGTGAAGGTTGAAATTCTGAGTCCATTATCAATATGCAGTCTAATACCCAGGGAGCCACTAGAATGAAAAAAGGGTAGCAAGCTCAGAAAATTCAGGACTACAATTATAAAACCCTGTTGCCAAGTAAGATTGAAATGCTTTGGCTTAAGGCACAAGAAATTAACACAGTTAACACTTGGAAGAAATCAGCAAAAGGTTTAGCATAACAATAAAATAATTGAGTCTGACATTAAGTATTATGATGCCAAAGATTCAGCCTCAGCAATTTAGTGAGGTCCTAAGAAACTTAATGAGACCCTCTCTATAAATTAAAAAATATATCTATCTATATCTATATCTATATCTATATCTATATCTATATCTATATCTATGGTAATATGCTCAATGGTTAAGCACCCCTGGGTTCAATCTCTGGTACAAAAAAAATAAAATGCCAAAGATTAAGATCCAGCAAATTTAACTAGTATATAATACTAAGAGAACACAGTAACAGCTAGGGAGGTATTAGAGGGACATGAGAGCACTGGTGATATACATAATGGTGGGGAAGTGAGGACCTTTAGCATATAAGGAAATATAAAAGACAACTTAGATGACTTTAATTAACGTCTCCAGATTCCAGGGCAGCTTATGCGTTGTATGACTGAAAGAAGAGTCAGTCCCTCTTTACATCTCATCTTATGCTCAGCTTATGGCATTTAAGCAAATATGAAATCCAACAATTTGGAGTTCTCTGTAGTTTCCTAACATCTAAGTGCAATGTTGGGTTCTAATTTTGGAACCAGCTATTTCTCCAATCTGCCACTGGGGTTGACCCAAACAGGAAAGCTCCAGGATCAAGGGGAAGCAAAAGATACTTATTATAAACTTAGAAACAGCCCTTCATTCAGGCATGTTATTTTTCTTCTTATCAGAAGCAGGGAGCAGGGCGGCTTGGTCAGCTTAGATCATTAATTCCCTTGATTTTAAGAATGATGGGGAGAACAAATATGGCCTTTCCATTTTCTATTTATTATAAATTATAACAACATAAGAAAATAACATAAAATAAAGGGCTACAAATACACTATTATGAGGCAAATAGCCTCGTACCTACTCATGTCAAGGAACAGCACCTGGAAACCTCATTGGCCTTTATCCAGTCACAAGCTTTTATCTGTCCTTTAACATCCTTTCCTTTAATGAAATAATTTTTTATATAAATTTATATGCTATGAATACATACAAGACACTACATATACATAAAACATATACATATGCTTTTGTGTCTGTTTTTTTCTAATGATCAGTCTGTTTGTGATGTTACTCCACATTATCAGGTGTGAAGGTTATTTACTGCTATGTAGCCCTTCAGTGCATGAGCATTCCACAGATTTATTTGTCCTCTCAAGTTGGGAGACATTTGTGTTGTTTCTATTTTCAGGATAATATTCATTCATACTCTGAATAGTATTGAACATATATTCATGTACATGCAAAGGCAAATCTGTTGACCGTACACTTGGAAGTGGAATTGCTGTTTTATAGACCATGAATATCTTCAGTTTTAATAAATAATGCAAAAGTGTTTCCAAAATGGCAGCACCAATTTGAGCCTCTATCAACCACATTTGAATATTTCTGTTGTTCTATAACCTCTTTAACAAATGGTCTTGCCAGGGTTTTGAATTTGGGGTCGCTTTATAAGCATGTGGTATTTCATTCAAGTTTTAATTTGCATTTTTCTTTTTACTAACTTTAAAAATGTTCCATATGGTTATTGTTTATTTGGAATTTTTCCTTTATAAAAATGCCTGATCAAGCCTTGATTTTTAAAAATTTTTTTTAGTTGTATATGAACACAATATCTTTATTTGTTTTATTTTTATGTGGTGCTGAGGATTGAACCCAATGCCTCACACATGCCAGGCAAGTATTCTACCACTGAGCCACAAACCCAGCCCAAGCCTTGATTTTTAAAATTTGATTATTTTTGTCTTTATTATTAATGCACTCTTGTTTTAAAGCTCTTTCTCCCCATATTTTTGGTTTGCTCTTTATTTTCTTTTTTTTCCATATATTTTAGTTGTCAATGGACATTTATTTTATTTATTTATATTTGGTGCTGAGGATTTAACCCAGTGACTCATACATGCTAGACAAGTGTTGTACCACTGAGCCAGAACCCCAACCCCTTGCTTTTTACTTTCTGAAAGTTTTTTTTTTTATTAAGTTCTCAGTCTTAATGTAAACAAATATTTAAGTCTTCTCACTTGGGTTATGAGCTTTGTGTGATTTGGAAAAAATACTATTCTCTACTCCAATATTATGAAGATTTTAAAATTGATACTACATAAACTATTCGCTTTTCCTTTTCCATACTGTATGCACAATGTGGACAGGATTTTAATTATATGTGAGTTAGAGGGTTTTTTCCCAACTTCAACAATTAACTGGTTGAAACAGAAATATTTGTTGAAATTTCATTTTCATTTCATTTTGCCCAGCTGTGCCCCACCTGCCATAAATCTCAGAAGTTTTACAAGAAACTTATTTTATTTTATTGAATTTTTTGTCTTCCTTATGTTAGTGCCACACTGTCTTCATTTCTATGAGTTTATAATAAAATTTGACATCTGTGAAAAATATGTACCTTTTTTCTTCAAGACTGCCTTAGCAATACTTAGCCCTTTTTATTCCAAATTAATTTAATACTTAGATTCTGAAGTTATTTTTTAAAAGATGGAATTTAGGTTTAAAAAAGGGGGGAAGAGGATCAAATCAATGACTATTAATGGCTTGAATAGAACAAATTATGTCTCCCAAAATTTTCATTTTTAGGATGATGTGATACTTCTTGAAACCTAAATGAGGCAAACTGAGGCGAGCAGTGTCATTCGACAATGCAGGAAATCATTAACATGAAACATCTTATCCACATCCCTTCTTCCTCTTATTATCTCCTCTTCTCCAGGGTCTACATTTAATTTTTCATTTTTAAATCATTAAGCCACTGCTTTACCTTTGGCATCAGAATGGATGACATCTACAAATTTTGCATCAGTGTAATCTAATCTACTATTTGATGGCTTTCCAGTAAATTTTGGCCCAGCAGGATCAAGACCTGAAATTCAAGAAAGGTAGAGGATAGGAAAGGCAGCAGAACACAACAGACACTAGTATGGCAATATGTAAATCAATGGATGTGTAACTGATGTGATTCTGCAATCTGTATATGAGGTAAAAATGGGAGTTCATAACCCACTTGAATCAAAGTGTGAAATATGATATATCAAGAACTATGTAATGTTTTGAACAACCAATAATAAAAAATTAAAATAAATAAATAAATAAAAATTAAAAATTAAAAAAATTCAAGAAAGGAATGATTAATTAATCTAATCAAGTCTTACTTGATGCTCATTTATTGCATGGTTGTATTATTAATATTACATTAGAAACATACTAAGAACTTTAAGTTGAAATCTGCCCCAAAACCATATTTAAAGGTAAGTAAAACTTGATAAATAGCATGTATCTTCATTATTTGAATACTTAATATCAACATTTGAAGACAGTCAAACTAAACCACCTTAGAGATACCTACACACAATATTTTGAAACATTTCTAGAATTTTCGTTTAGGTAACAATTGTTAGCAAATTAGAAGTTCTGTGTTTAATAACAACTATGACTTCTCCTGGAGGGGAAAAGATAATAAATAGTATGTGTTCACATTCTCTTAAGAAAAAAATATTTAAAATTTCTATGTAATATAAATATTACTTATAGAGTAGCTTATACTTTACATAAAATTCTAGACTCACGACTTTCTGAATTGTATCAAAAGTCAGGGGAGATAAAATTAATTTCCTTGAAAGCATCTATGCAGTGGAAGAAAGTACCATCTTAAAAATTTATTTGAAAAATATGTTCCTCATCTTGGGCCCTTCTAGTATTCTTATTTTATTTAAATAGTCCCAATATGGAGCCATTAAATTTGACTAATAGGTAGAAATATATATCCATCCATACAAATTTTTTCACATCTCCTTTTCCTCTTTTCTAAAATTCAACTAAAAGTTTATTGTCTTTTATTAATACTTCAAAATGTTATCAATATTCTATGGACATACATATCAATAACTGTTTTAAAAATAACATAAATTGTTCAAGGAAGGATATTATACTTCTTCTAAAATCACCACCACTTCTAGAGGAAGGAAGAAAGTCTATGTTGGTATTATTTGGTTACTGAGTTTTGTGGATACAGTAACTCTGTCATGGGAATATGTGGGAAATTGGGAATCAGAACTCCTCAAACTTGGATACCGACTCTTGATTCTTCTAGCACTCAAGTAAAACACTTTAAAAACTGAAATACAGTTTTGTGAAAATTAAGTACATTGCCATATTCTTATCATTCTTATCTCAGCATACATGAAGTACAATAAAGTTTAATTTAATGTTCCGGATTTTCCTGTGTATTCTTACAACAATAATTTAGATAGAAATACAGGGATAGATCTTTTCCTCTCATTTCTATCTCAAGTCATATGAGCTGTATTCAGAACTAAAAAATATTTTAGAATCTTACTTATATCTAATATTTGAAGACGAGTACAGAAAAATAAATGTGCATACATAATTTCTATTGCTTCGTTTTTGTACCTGCTAAATTTTAAATAACTTCTGATACTTAAAAGTGTGCTAAAATAATAACTTATTAAAAATAGTTTTACCTGTTATTCTTCCAAGTCCACCATGAAATATCTTTCCAACAAAACCACTAATATGAGCTCCCAAGCTCATGCCTATGAAGTGAAAATTGTCAAGAGATGCTCCATGTGTCTACAATTGAAAATAAGAATGTCACAATTTTCATTTTGGGTATTTACAAATCCTATCTCACACAACCATGTTCTAAAACTCATTCTTTTTTTTTCTCATGGCTTAATTCATTTCTGGGAGATAGAGAAGATAACTTTTTAAATTTTTGAAACAAGTTTAACTTTTATTTAATTATCATTAAACTTTTATTTAAAGGTAAGTCACTATGCACAGCTTGCTTTCTGTTACAGCAGCTCAAATGAATTAAAGACATACCCCAGATCAATCTGACTCCAAAGTTTATGCTAATCTGTCTCTCCATTTTCTCTGTTTAGATTCTATCAAAAATCCTAGAAAAGCTGGTGAAAATGTAATAATCATTTCTACTTCAGAGATGATAAAATAAAGATTATGGATTTTAAGTGGCTTCCCCTATCACAAGCTGGATAGTGATGGAATCTAATCTGCCAAGGTCAGGGTTTGAAAACCTGTTAGTCAATGGGTAGAGGTGGGAGGATGGAGGTGTTAGAAGCTTACATGAGGGTGTATTCCTTCTACCATATTCATAAGGAAATAATAGAAGACTTGTGGGCAGATCATGTCTAGTCTACATGGTGACATGCCTGAAGGCTTACAGAAAGATGTAAATTGCCACTAAGAGAAAACTAGACAGGCTTTCCCAGCACAAAGCAATAAAGTTCTTCAAATACTTCAGAGAAATGCCCCAAAACTTGAAGGAAATATTTCTCCAAAGTTTAGTGCTACTGAACAATTTATGTTATTTTTTTAAAACAGTTACTGAACTTTGAAGTATTGCTAGAAATTTATCTATGCTTCAAATTTTCCCAAGTTTCTCTACCCTTTTCCTCTCACCCTTTCCATACTTTGAGGTTCGTTTTTATTATGTAAAATCTATAACCAGAAAAAAATTGATTGTGCACTTTTATAACCTACTGATAGCAATGAGTAAGGCAATTATCTCCTTTGCCTTTCACAGGGATGGTATGATTTTCTCCAAATTACGAAACATAAAAATAATGAAAGTTGATTGTATTCAATGATTACTAAATGGTATTCATTGGTTAAACACATACATACACATTAACATTTTTTATATATCTATGTATTCTTCTAATATTTCTATAAACATTATTATAAAATTTTATCTTAAATGCAAAAATAAGGAAATGCACATAGAGAGGTTAACGAATTGTGATGGTTAGTGAAGGATTTGGACTATGAACCACTGAGTCTGACTTCTAGCCACTATATGTAGCTGCTTCTTGGATTTGCTATGCTTGTTTAATTTCAGCAAAGACTTGGAAGTTCAGCACAACATGTGCAATTTCAAGCCCAAGAATGTACCACAGACCAAATTAACCCTTCTGTCTTTCAATTACCCATAACCACCACCTCTCAGGACAAACATGAGTCTCCATAAAGGTTGACATGGTTAAGAAAAATCATTCAAACTATAGATGACCCAGAACTGGCCTAAATTTACCTGACCCATCCCCACTTTGAGCAAACCTGAATGGAATTTCCTTTGACATTGATAAAATTAATCTACTTTTCAGACTGTTTTCCCCTGTCTTTTACCAAATTCATATTTGATTAATGTAAACATGTTAAGACATATTTTAGGGAGAATATCTAAAGAATGAAAAGATTATATACTTTATCCCCTCTGCCCATATAGGATCACTACTTTATTCTGAAGTTAATTTAGTTAGAGTCAAAAAGTCTTACAATGTTTTAAATTAATCATAATAAATGTTTATGAGAATTATTTTAAAATAAGGTAAAATCTAGATATACAATTATATTTTGATGCAAAGATAATAAGACTGCACAAATTAGAATTTCAAAGCTATAATTCTAAATGCTTATGGAAAAAAGTATTACTTTCATTATCACAAGTAGTATTACATAGCACATTATATATTGTATAGCAAGATTAATGATAAAATTTCCAGACTTACCAAAAGATATTGAATGTACTCAGTCAAAGTCTCAGCAACTTTTCTGGTGTTTTTAACTGCTCTGTTGTAAATAAAAGTTGTAGCACCATGGTTCCAGTCTACTACAATTACATTAATATCTTCTTTATGCAATAAACTCCTTACAAAATTTGAAAGCCATGATGGGGTGGAGCCCATTGGTCTGTATCCATGAATCAGCCAGACTGTTTTCTTTTGTGTGTTGAAATTAACATTGAGTGAGTTATTGAGCCCTAAAAGTGGCTCAGCACAGTTCAGGTTGTTCCTTGTATACATCATCAGAACTATCTTTAATCTGGGAATAAACAAATCTTTTAAGGAATCCTTTACACTTAGATGAGAGAATTCAATGCATGGTCTTTTATTCTCTGAAATTAAAATTTAAAAAGTCAATCAAGCTGAGAACGTAGATATTATTGGATTCTTGATGCGGTTATAAAGAACAAAATTGAATATGAGGGTTGGGGGATTTCAAAATTTTATTAGCAATCAAATATAATTCACTAATCAACTGCACTGTTCAAAGTAATGCACTGATTAGGCAAAAAATTATAATTTCTAAACTAGAAATAATAAAAAAGTTACAATAGAAAATATAAATAAATACGATTGGTTAAAAATCATGAGTTGTTTATCTGTATAAAATAGGAAATTATAGCAATGTTTGTGACTAAAGTCATGAATATTGCTAATAAAGAAGTGATGAGCCCACCACCAATAAGATAGATAAATTGATTTTGAATTATGAACTTTAACAATAGCTTTATAGAATAGTACTTATATATGAATAATCAGCTTTAGGTAAAAAGACATTTTACTTAACCAGTTCTCTAATGAATATGAATAAAAACAAGATAACATTTTCCTATCAAATAAAAATAGAAAAATCTTCCTATACCATTGATAAGGGTAAATACCAAATGACTGATAAACACAAACAGTGAGAACATATAAAATGACACAGTCTTTGAAAAATTTATATTTATGTGTGTATCTCCATATGTGTGCACCACACACTTATTCTTGGCACAAAATTATAAATCACCTTAAATGTCATTATGAAACTATATGTGTTCTCTCTCCCTCTCTCTCTCCCTCTCTCTTTCTCTTTCTTTCTCTCTCCCTTTATAATTCCCAGAAGAAACCAAGGCAGAAAATAAAATAACTAAGAAAGATTAAAAATGCTCATTGCCACATAGTAAAACAACAGCCGCTTTTTATTTTCTCTTTCATAGATTTTCAGAATTGTAACTCTTTTCATAATAACAACATAATCCCAAAAGTTTTTTTCCAAATGAACTTTTAATTAGAATGTGTGCTTATATTCCTTCTTGAACATTAACTCTATAATATTTGGAAGAGAATTTGTCAACATATATGAAATATTCACAAATGTGTTAGTATATTTTATCTCAGCAAATCTACTTCTAAGAATCTATCAGAAAAAAACAAAAAGAAATGAACTAACAAATATTATTTTATTACTGGACATATATATTTTATAATAATCTTAATTGTGAATATATATTTGCAATATTGTCATAATCACTGAGATACAGTAAAAGGAGAAAGACACTGAAGGAGAAGCAAGTTATACATTCAATTCCCAGGCAAAAAAACTAAGGTATCCTTGGAAAAGTTAAAACCTTGATTCTTTATATGTTTTAAGTACTAGAGAATGAGGAAGTAAGAGAAGGAATACATTGAATCATAGTGCCTATGAATGCCTGCTACACTGTTCAAGTTGTGTAAGAAATTCTGTACCTCCACCTTATCTTATCAGCAGAACTTGGACAAGGGCCAAATGCAATCAATGAATCCAAACTGCTGACCCACTCCAACTCTAGGTAGCTGTTACATGGCCCTAGAATGAATAATGGGGAATTATTCAGTAGGATTACTGTGAAAAAAAAATTAAAGGAAAGAAATTATCATCCAAAACCACCAGCAGAGAAATATATTATTTATTACCAGATGTACAAATAATTGCAGAAATAATTTCTATAGAGATAGCATCCCCATTGGAATGCGAAGAAAAATCTCATTTCAGAAACACAAAGCAGGAAGCCATTAAGAGAAAATTAACTGAGGTTAAAAAAGAAAAAAAAAACACAGCATCACATGGAGAACAGAATAATGAAATATTCTAGTTTATGAAAGTAAAAAGAAGCAATTGAGAATTAAAATTCACATTATAAATGTTATAACAAACATGGAACTGTCTTATAGTAAGAAATAAAACAAGAAAAATTAAAATTATGAAGGGAAACATACATACAAGAGAAAGAAAGATGATTCAAATCTTAAAATGTTGTTGTTCCATGGGCTGGGGCATTGGGGAGGGGGTGGGTAGAAACTACAAAAATTAAGGGAATTGCATACCAGGAGTTGCAAACTGAGAAGGTTCACTACAGTGCAGAGAAAGTCAGTTAATCAGACTCACCAAGAGGTTTCCTAGAAATTCGTTTGGAGTTCCATGAAAGAGAGAAATATGCTAAAAATAGTAAGGCAGAAAATATAGGTTACAAACAGAGGAATGAAGTAATGATGACTTCATGTTTTCCTTTAAATGAATACATCAGACAGACAAAAGTTATAAGTGGAAAGTTTGGGGCCTAAGAAGTCTATGTCTTTCTAGAGGAATCTACTAAGAATAATACAGCACACTTTCTGAATCATCATTGTTACTTAAAAATGTTGGATTTATTGGAGATAAGATGGACAGAATTTCATAGTATAAAAAAGATCGAAAGTGAATGTGCAAATAAGGTGAACACTGATTTAGGTAGAATGTTACAAAATTGGATAAAACAGAAAAGCAATAACAAAAGTTATTTCTGTATGTCCAAATTAAACTAATAAGACAGAAGCATATATTAAAAGGAGTATAGAGGAAGTGGGCTTGGTGCAAAAAGTCCTTAATAGAGGAATTTGTAAAATTTCAAAATTTTTAACTGTAGAAATAGAAAAATAGGGTTTTAAAAAATATTGAAAACCCAAATGTCAACTGCTATGCTATGTAAAACATAACACATGAATTTCTAAATATAAAAATATTTAGAATATAAATATTTACTCGTATAACAGTATATATATACAAAAGAAAAGAAAATTTGAAAATTGAAGTAATGAAACTAGAAAGCATAAGACAACAATAAAGTTACACTAAAAAAAAAAATATGGTATGTAAATAGACATGTAACTGTAAAGTTGGCCTATTAAAAATCATTCAATTTCAGCTTTTGTAAAAATAAATAATTAAATAAGAATAACACATTTAGAATAAGAACACAGGGCTGGGGTCGTGGTTTAGTGGTAAGAATGCTTGCCTAGCATGCATGGCGTAGCATGCATGAGGCGCTAGGTTTGTTCCCCAGCACCACATAAAAAAATTAAATAAACAAAATAAAGATATTGTGTCCATCTACAACTAAAAATATTTTTAAAATAAATAAGAATATAATGGACAGGTAAGTATATTCCTCACAAAAGGGGCATAGGCAGCTTTGTTAGAGCACAATGATGGCTCCAATTCATCACCCTTTCCCAAGTCCAGGCCATTTACTGTGTCACTTTGAGGTATTCTCTCATTTAAGTGAGGTGATTTGCCCCAAACCCACAATGAAGAAACAAAAATAGGACTTTCTTTGACAAATAGTACCTTAGGAGACTTGAAGGAAGCAGAGGCTTGAAATGGACTTGTACCAGTCGACTTACACTTCCACACCTCTGTCATCACATGAAAACAACCCTGGTCTGTCCAGCTAGAAGATGAGACAGGTGTGGAAAAGCTTATTTCCTCAGTTGTGCTAGGCACTAGTCAGTCCAGATGATGGCCACTCAACAGTCAGACATGCTGGTGATCACAACCAAAAGCAAGAATAATAATTGTTCCTTAGTATGTTCCACTGAGTCCACAGGTGAGAATAATGGATTCACATCAAGTGCCACTAAGAATGTTAGCTTTTATTTTCTTTTGGCTTTATTTTTGCCTGATTATAATATTGTAGGAAAGAGAGTGAAAACAAGAGGTACCAAATAATACAAAAGAGTTAACAGTGTATTGTTAGACTTAAAGAGCATTAAATTGATTTAATTCTAGATCTTTGGAGTAGAAAGAAGAATAAAATTCTAGGCATCAAAAATATATCAGAATCTTCATAAAATTAACCTTAACAATTAGGTATAAATTGAAATATTCCCAAACAAGCTGGAAGCTCCTTTACTTACTAGACTTGCCCTATAAGATATGCTAATGCATCTTTCAAATTGAAATAAAAGTCCACTAGATAGTAATTTGAAGTCATGAAAATATAAAGTTCTCCAGTAAAGACAAAACACATGACAAATACAGAAAACAATACTATCATAATTTTGGTTTATAACTTTACTTTTCTGTAAAAGCATGTCAGTATGAAAATCAACTAAACATAACAAAAGGCAATAATGTAGGAAATGAAGAACAAAAAAAGGATTTAAAAGACAAATGCATAGAAATAATTGTAAGTGCATGTTCAAGGGTAGACAATGTATAAAGACAAAAGTTTTGTCATCAGTAACATTAAGTAGGATGGAGTGGAACTTTAGAAAGGTAGTATTTTTATGGGATTGAATTTAAGTTAGTATCAGTTTAAGATGGATTGGTATAATTTTAGTATGTTATTTGTGGTCTCCATGGTAACCTCATAGAAACTATCTATAGGATTTATAAGAAAGGGAATGAGACTAAAAGCATGTCAGTATGAAAGCCAACTAAACACAACAAAAGGCACTGATGTAGGAAATGAGGAACAAAAAAAGACTAGAAGACATGTAGAAAACTAATGACAAAAGAGTAGATCACTGGAGATGAATGTACATGTATTGAAACCCCTAATCTAAAGATGTACATTGGCAGAATGGGAAACAAACAAACAAAACAAAACAAAAAATCTAGCCTCCAACTATGTTCTATCTATAACACACTCATTTTGTCAAAAGATGAAAAAAAAATATTCAATTCAAAAGAGAGTAGAAATGCCACACTAATACCAGACAAAATAACTTTATAAATTAAAAATTGTTAAAAGATTAGGGAAAACACTATAAAGATTAAACAATAAAACCTCCAAAGAAAACAGAAATAGAAAACTTTATTAAATTGGATTTAGCACTGATTCCCTGATTTCTCAAAGACTACCAAAAAGATTTTAAAAAGCACAAGCAATGAAAGCAAAAATAGATAAGTTTAGCTTTATCAAAATTAAAAGCTTTTGTGCATTAAAGGACAGAATCAACAAAATGAAAAGACAACCCACAGAATGGGGAAATATATTCATAAAAAACAGATAATTTTCAGATTAATACCACATTGTAACAAATAAAAATC